TCAGTTCCCAACCCAAGTCCCTACAGACTGAGCTACTGCACCCAGTTAGCGCACAGCTTCATATTGCACAAAAAATTGACACAGAATAACTGTGATCTAAAAAAGTTTATGTGAAATCGATATAATCAGTGAGTATGTTCTTCTTCTACTCTCTAGTTCTTGACTAAAACAGCTTTTATACACAAAGGGAGGAGCCGGCCGTCCCGTCCATGTAAACACGGCTCTGACAACAACACAGCGAGTGGAACTCGAGCGACAGTCATGACTCAGAGACACAGCTACACAGGATAGACTTGATTTCTGCTGTATTTATGTGTTGCAACGTCACACATTCTGCCTTAAAGTCAATTTGGAAGTTCCATGAATTGAAGTGCAAGGGTTAAAACATGAAAAACAACACTACATGAAGCGTTCTTTAAAACTGAAGTAGAGTCACTAGTTTTAACCGTTGATATGATAATGAGATGTTGGCCTTCATCTGCTGCATCCATAGGATTCAGCTCCAGTTTCCGTCCTTTTAGGAGTCAATTTAATTTCTGTCGACCCCCAGCCTGCAGGATCAGGCATCATGCACGCTTTACAGATGGAAATCAGCTAGTTTCTCCTGAAAGGCTTGGTATTATTCAGCATGTATGGAACGAACACAGACCGACCCTGAACCGTCAGTTCTTCCCCGGGCAACTTGATGCCTCATTACAGCTGCAGGAGGATCTGCACAGTCTGAGCGCAGACATTTCCATAACACAGTCCATATGTTGCTGTGGACCACTCTGACCGCCTCAGCCGGGGACGCTGAGGTTTCCGTGCAGGGTTGAGGGAGCGGGTGGAGGAGGGGGGTGGGGGGTGAGGAGGTGAGGGAGTTGGAGTGGCCTTTCATCCACTGAGGTGGTGGAAACGTATCTGCAGTCAGGATCACAACGCTGGAGCCAGAGGAATCCAAATACACCCCCCCAACACCAACATACCCAACCAGCCCTCCACCCATTGTGGGAATGTGGTTTCCTGAACACACACATGCACACACACACACACACACACACACACACACACACACACACACACACTGGGAGAGGGTTATTATGAAATCAGTCTGGAGGTGTGTTTTCCTGAGTTTGCATTTATGTGAACATTAGTACGAGGACAAAGAGTGTGTAAAGTTCAGAATGTCCATTGGTGTGTGTACTTTTACTCCTTTTATGAAAAGGACATGATCACGTCGAGGACTCTTTTGACGCTCATGCTATAAGTGTCTTATAAGACATAATAAATGTGTTAATTATGCCTATATTAACACTTATATAGTCCTATTTGTGTTAATAAGAATCTAATAAGGTCTTATAAGAGACTTATAAGTGACTTATTACCGGTTATTAATGCTTATTACAAGCACCTTAATATAAAGTGTTACCGCTCTGTTCTGTGAAAACAATCTCTGAAGACTGTTTTTTCCACAAGAATATTCTTATCGATATTGTAGACACATTTTTAAAAAGTACAACCGAAATCATTTAAAAGAGATGTAAGGTACACTGCATCTACATCCTCATTCCCTCTTCCACCTTTATTCCAAGCCAGGATTTCAAATTCAATACTGGAGAGGATGGATGGATGATCTAAGATGTTGAATATACGTAACAACAAAGAGTCGGATTTCTCTGTTCACTCTTCCATAACATGACTGTGTACAATTTAAAAATACAAAGTTTATTGTATGTTTTCCTGCAGACGTAAATCAGCTCTTTACTCGGCTGACATATTTACTCCGTTTGAAAACACACACACACAAACACTTAAAAAGGTAAAATCCATGTGTATATTTAACAGAGGGACTCACAGGGATCGGGTTCGCTGTGACTTTTGTCTTCTGCTTGTAAATATGCGTGGTTAACCATTGGAATTTGAGCCCCGGCTGGGTTAAAGTGCCGGCTCCAAATGTAATGTCGCTCAATCAGCACAGCGACACTCGGCTGCAGAGAGCTGTGAGAATACAAATTAAGAAATACAGAGTTTCAGATATTCCTAAATTCTTCTGCTGCATCTTTAACTTGGCCGAGGAATAAAACAGATGTGTGTTATCATGTGAATCCCGGATGACTTCCTGAGTTTATATGGTGTCACTCAGTTAACTTGTTTCCATTTGAATGTTTAACAAAATTATAGAGAGACTTTGGACGTCAAACTTTGGTTGGAAAAATTTAATTGGTGTTGAAAACTGAATAAAAAAATGCTTCATCTTTTGTTCATTTCAGCACAACTCCCAGCTTTAGCCTCTAAAAAATTAAACGTTAAATGTTTAAACGCACAGTATGTAAAATCCGCCACCAGGGGGCTCTCAATCAAAACAATAACAAGGGAGTGATAGGGAGTGATTATCTCTGCTCCTCACCCTTTACACTTTAATGTAGACAGGGTACCAGTGGTTAGCTTGTGCTCCCCATGTACAGAAGCTACAGTACTTAAAGCAAGCCCGGGTTCAAGTCCGACCTGTTGCTCCTTTGCCGTTTGCGCCTCTCCAAACAGCAGAAAGAAGATGGCAACCACTTGCGGGCTAAGTCTATCCTGCTAACTGTGGATGTTTTTGTTATTTCTGAGACGCCAACGACGACCCACTTTCTACTTCAGCATTCACCGTGCAGCTCAGAGGATGAATCGGGCCCGTGCTGTACAGATATGATGGGTTTTGAAGCGACAGGAGCCGTTTAGAATGACGTCATAAAGCGGTCCACTTCCTGGTTTGAGCATGTTGTGTTCACATCTCCTGCAGACCGTACTCGAGCACACATCAATCGTTCCCCAGACCACCTCTTCAAGCAGACTTGGGCACGGTCCCCAGTGTGAACCTTTAATGATAGAAAATGACTTTCTAAACATCAGAGCTCAAAGTGACTGTTTCCTGGTTGTTCATTTAAGTCGCCCTGAGGAGTTTTCCTGTGTGCTCAGCGAATGCACGGTGTGTCCTCAACACCATTAAACATGTTGAATTTATTTCCTTCCTAATAAAACATGTGCAAGGCAGATTTTCAGGTCTCAATCCGGCTTTGTTTACGGCCACGTTCACTAGCTGGCACCCTTCTTGTGCGGGTGCATTGATACTATTTTTGGAGCTCGCCTTGTACACATTGGTAGAAAAAGGAATGTGTGTTGTGTCACCCACAATCGAGTGTTTTAACGCCAAGGCACGAGAACAAATGAAACAGAAAACCAATCAGAGAAACAACAACGCCTTTTATCATTAATAGCGGTTTAAAAAGTCACATGGTCCTTTTACCAGTTAAAATGGAGTCTGTTTCCTTCCTGCAAGACTTGGGTCTTGATCACACACCTTCATTAAAATCATCATACTCATGACCCATGACCCCTTGTCAGGATGATTTGATAGAAAAAAAAGGAAATGTTATTTTTGTCCTTTATGAAGTTTCACTTATAGAAGGTCAGACTGTTTTGTACATGCGTAGCATTCAAGGAATATCGACTCTTCTTTGAACTGCCTACAAGTGGTCCAAAATGGGTTAGGGTTAGGGTTATGTTACACCCATCCTCATGTCTTTATGTTCAGAATTCAATGCAAACTTCTTGTAATAGTCTCAAGAGCGTTGAAAGGTCGAGTACCTGCTGATATCAGAGCTGCTCAAGCCGCACGTTACCTGCAGGAAATTCGCTGTGAAAGTTATATAGGCCCTCCTACACAGATTGGCCTATCAGACAATGCTAGCTACAAGATAGCTAAGTGAAGAAGATGCATCTGCAATTCACTTTCACTGTACTGTGAATTGGGAAGCCAACCTTGGGTAGCAAAAAAACAGTCTTGAACGGCTAACTTCTTAGAGACGCTCATTAGAATCAAACGTTCAGCAAAAACATTTTTGTGTCACAAAAGTTAAAGTTAACACCCTTCAGCGAACCCTGCTAGATAGATGGACGCTAGGGGAATAGCTCTAGGTGCTTTCAGTTTGATTTTATTCAAGGAAATATCACCATGGAGACAAGAAATTACATTTAAGGACTCGTGTCCTGGCATTTGTAGCTCTACACTTGGAAGTTGAACCTCCGAAAAGACGTGTCAGATGAGTTTCTTCTTCACCATTGTTGATAAGCTGATATCAGAACTCCCGCCCCTTCTTGGTTGTGATTGGTCAGTGAGGGAGAGTTGACATTGTTGAGTGGTCCAAAAGTTGAATGTTTGTCAACTGAGAGCTGCTATGAGCAACCGGACCAAAAAACAGCTGATACTGAGGGCTTTGTCACGCTCTGGGCAAATGAAAAGCATTGATGCTTTGTTTTTATGCCTTCACACAGGACAGTAGAGAGTCAGAAAACAGAGAGAGAAAACAGAGAGAGAGAGTGGGTAAAAAGGAGCCACAGGTCAGATTCAAACCTGGACGGCACGCCTCAAGAAACACAGCCTCCCCACATGGGTTGCCTGCGCCAACCACTCTGCCACCGGCGCCCCAAAAAGCATTGGTTTTGAACCGAAAATGGGCGCTGCTATTGCAAATTACGGCTACCCTAACTATTAAAATTCAACAGTTAATCATTTGACAGTTCTGATATAGAAAAAAGAAGGTAAATACGAAATAAAGCAATATGCACAAAATATGAAAACTTTTAGAAACTGTTATTTTTTTCTGGTTTATCCAAATGCTGAATAAATAAAGTGGAGATCATTCATCTATCTATAGGTATATTTGGATGCTATTACACACAAACAAATGTCAACACACATGCACATTGACTCTCATTGTTGTTGACATGTTTGTTTACGTTTGTCAGAAGCTGATTGAAGTGGATGAGTCGAGACTTTTCTTCCAGAGAGGATCAGACCTCGGAAGAGCTCAGAAAACTCTCAGGGATTATGAACCTCTATCTCTCTCTCTCTCTCTCTCTCTGTTTCTCTCCCCCCTCGCTCCCTCCCTGCTCTCTAATCGCTGTGTTGTGGTGGTGACGATTCCTCCTCCCTCTCTCCTCTGCTCTCCTCTCTGGGCTGTATATAAGTGTGGACGTCTGGCTTGTGTTTCAGACAGAGGCAATGACTGCGAGCCTTTCGGACGTACGGCGCAGGGGGCCACCATGACCCCTGCTGTGACCCCATCAAAGACACTCCAACCTCCCACCAGGCTGCTTGTTATTGGTTGGTTTGCAGCATCTACAGGTGAGCTTTTCGTCTCATGTTCAAAGTTTAAAAACAAAAAACAGTTTAAGGCTTGTTTTGACAATTTTTTTATCCTGCTTAAAAACACCGTTCTGCAGCTTCTGTGTGAGTGCACAAAGAGGAAATTAAAGTGTATTTTTAAACCCTGAGGGAGGCGGCAACTCTGGGTGTTACAGCATGGCTTGAGCGTCTGTTTATGGGGGATGCAGGAAGGGGGAGGAGGAAGAGGAGTGCCCTGTCATGTCAGGAATGTTAGCTCACTCTTAAGAATACCCTTGCAGTTGAGAAAGTTTCTCTTATTTCGCAATTTGAGGCACAAGTGATTTTTTGCTAAACAGGCTGCTTGATAAATCAGCAGTAACGTCAACTCTCAAGGCCTCATTTTCTCACAGTTACAGTCATTTAGCAGATGCTGTGACTCTTTCTGATTCACAGTCAACTGTGAGAGAAGACGACAACACGGGAGGTCACAGCTTTTTGAGCAGCTGGATTGAAAGTTCATCACAGAGCGCCTATAAAAAGCTCCTTTGTGTTTATGGGCACCTGATGTTTTTCGGTCTGCCCTGCATGCAGACTCAAGAGGGTGAAAGTGACGGAGGTTAGAGATCAGAGGATGAAGCTAGGAGGCTTGATTAGCTGACAGGATTTCAGGATTGGGCTTTAATCTCTGCGGGTAATCTGAAGGATGCTCGGCCTTCAGGTGGTTGTTTGAGGAATTGGCTTATCATAGAGAAGAATTTATTTTGATTGAATGATACACAGCATTCAAGTTGCAGGATAGGGAAATTATTTTGATTATTTCAGTAAGTCTCTAAGGGAACACAAAATGGAAAGAAGAAAATTGCACCTCAGTGAGGGACATGTTGACCTTGGTAGGAGCATTAGTTAGAACAGAAGTAGAAGCACAGTCATTCCAATGATGCAAAAAATGTTAAAATAATTCAGGAGTGCCTCTCTAACGCTTAGTTCTTGTGTTTTAGTGTTTAAGCATGACTTGTTCCTCCTTTCATTTGGATGTTAATTTGAAACAACTACTCCCTTTTTTAGAGAACATCTTCATAATGTCCTCTTTTAAAGGCTTGTTGATAAGAACTCTGATTAAATTCCTCCAGAAAGACGGTCATGTTACTAGGTAGGTACATTAACTCTTTTTCTTTTTCATCATGGTTACAAATGTGCAGCAAATGTCCCCTTGGGCAGATTTACAACAAACATTCTTAAATGGTCGTACAACTATATTTGCCTCTTGCTAAACAATGAGACAAAAAGTAGTCTTAGAGGTATTTGTGTAAATTTAAGATTAAACATTTTGTGATTCCTCCTCCCTCTTCACAATGTCCGAGTCTGTTTACACTTAACACAGCATCGCCCTTGACTGGCTATACTGGCTATAGTGGTGACTGGGCATGAATGACGGCTGCACCCACAGTTTACTGTCAACTCTGTGACTTCATAAATCATAAATATAATACATTACTCATAAAAGCGTATCATTTTTTCTGTTCTATATGATACAATGTATTTATTTTCAGAATTTAAGGGACCAATCTGGACGATATGTAGTGAGTGAAATGATAAAGTGACCTTACTATATGATCAGACATTAAGGAAACATGCTATGTTGAAGTGCTGGCTTCTCTGACAACAATGCAGCAGCCAGTATGTCCTCCTTCTAACTTCAGATTCTGGTCCTGAATGCTCTGGATTTGTTTGGACCAGAGACGGTAGGCAGTTTTAAGGACACCCCCACACGGCCGTTTTGGACGCCCTTCGGTTTGCCAGATATGAGAGCAGTTATCAGGTCAAACCAACAGGTGTTGCAGTGATGGAAGCGGGCAAGAGAACTGGTTCAGATAGAAGTGATTGTACCCGACCTAAAAAGCCTCTGCATGTTTCTAATAAGCTCCACGTGAGCAGAAACGTGCTCAAACTAGGATCAATATTGGAGATGCTTTTGAAAAATGGAGAGAGGTTAGAACACAGAAAGGTTTACAGACCGATGCAGAGCTGGCTAAACACTGAAGCTTCAGTGTCCACCACATGGCAACCTGCATGAGCATCAACTCTAGAGAGGAGGGGGCGGGGGGAGACAGCTCTCTACAATGTTTAGAAGTTAGACTGCAGTACTCATTTTACCAATGTTCCCTTGTGTTTTTGTTGAATGTTTTAAAAAACTACAGGCTGCACTGAATATCAAAGGTAATTCTTAATAACTAGATGGAACAAACTTTAACTTGCACAACTGTTGTTCCACAATAAATGAGAGAAACCGTGTAATATGGATTTCTGTTGAAGCAAACTCGCACTGAACCGTGACCTCTGTGAACGGTTACACCCCGACAAGTTGCAGCCAATTTGTGGTCAGGTTTCCCACGCTTACTGAGATTATCTCATGGTTTACTCTTGGACAAAATCCTAAACGAGTAGAGGAAAATAATGAAAAGCTCCGCTGAAAGGTTTTTTGTAAATAGGAAACATTATCCGCTGAATCTTTCATTGTCTCTACCAAAAGAAACATGTTTCTCCTCCTCCCTCCTCGATAGACGCTCGGCGTTGACGTCACTTTGGCCAATCGAACTGACAGGAAGCAGCTATGAGTCTGTGGAGCTCTAGCATTTAGCTGAAAACAAAGGGGTATTTTGGAAAAAGTAAACACCATCAGGATAAACAAAGGCGCTCAGGAAGGCGTATTACATAGCTCAGTCTGAAAAATATCCCATCGTCCCTTTCATTATTTTCACCTCCGTATAGTTTCGTGTTCTGTCCTCCTCTGAGGTCATCCGTCTGTTTTCTCCATCTGACTAATCCATCTCCAACCAGAACTCACCAATCATGCTCGCCTTGGCACAGAGATCACCGGGCTGTGATTAGCTCTGGCTCTGCCCGGTGGAAACATTTCTTTTTGGCTCACTGTTTTCCAGTCTTTGCTTGGGTTTGTTTTTCTTCTGTCGTGTGATGAACATGGTGACCACATTCAGTCACCAGGAAATCTGGTTAAAAAAATGCTCCTCTTTGCTCTGATTAACTATTTTAACCAGCTTTGTTGCTGATTCATGGGACGTCCTGATGCACAGTCATGTTGCAGAGCGTTTTAAGTGATGATAGAGGAGAAGAAACACTACAGTCTGGAGCTCTTTCATGGTTCATTTTTTAGGTTAAGCGCTACTCTGCCTGAAAACACACTTGAATAAGTCATTATTCTAAAGATTAACTCTTTCAAAGACATTAGTCTGACGATGAGTCCCTCCAGGATTTCGAGAGCTTGATTGTTTGAATAAGTTGCAAGGCAAGTTTGCAATGAGTGTTTTGAGGCTTTATTTTCTGAGTAACACATGACATATCCGCTTTGAGTGACTGGCAAAAACACTCCAATAAATAAAAGCCATCTAAGGGCTGAGTGAACCGTTTTCTGACATAATTTCCCATTGATTTATGTTTAAAAACAAATTACAAATGCATAAAATTTAATTAAACAAAAGTAAATTACCAAAAAATACATACGCGTCCTTGGCCCTGGCACGCTTGGATGAGGTGTGCTGCGAGCGGTACAGTTCATGCATGAGCACAAGCACAAGTATACAACGTTGACGGCCTTCATTGTTGAGAAATCCCGGAGTGTTCTGTCTGTATCTGACTAAAATGACTCGAAATAAGCCATATAGTAATGCAGCTGTTTAATTACATGAATGGAGATCGTACTGGTCGCATGCATACAGTCTATGGTCGTGCACTGATCGCAGGTAACAAACATTACCACCCCCTCTCCCGAATTCTGATTATATCCTGCTGCGTTCTCAAATCAGCTGACTCAGACTTTGTGCAAATAAAAAACTCTGGCAGGAGAAACTTAATAAAGTCAGAGAGAAAAATTTGGATAGTAGTTTATCAGGATATTTGTGCAAGTGTGAGAGCACTACTTGATATATTTTACAATTAAATTCCATCTTGCAGAAAATGGTACACGATGCAGGTATCTATTGAAGATTTGCAGATTCAGGGCTCAAGCTGCAGTTAAATAACTAAACAGCAGAAGCATGAAATGTAAAATGCTCTCATGTTTTTTTTTTTTGCAGCTTTCATGCCGTGGTAATATGACTTGGTGACGTCTGGTCAGTGTTGGAACATATTTATGTGCCAGATGGTGAATGTGAGGGAATCTGTTTTTCTGGCTCTTGCCCCTCGGCCCTCCATCAGGAGTTCGGCTCGATTCCCAAACATCAAACCGAGGACAGGCTTGTCCCTCTCCTGGCACCTCTGAATGTGCTCAGAGTGTCCTTCCCTCCCACCCTCCATCAAACTGTCAGCTTCATTTACTCCCAAATTCAAAAAAACCTCTTCTTTAGGTATGAAACTGTCTCTTTTTCCAGGAGAAATTGGTGTGAAATGCGTTCCTTCGAGGTAGGAGAGGTGGTACGGCAGCAGGCTTACATCAAAGATAAACGCTAGCTGATGAACTGATCTGATATCAGCTGTGCAGAGTCAGAGAGCTGAATCGTGTTGTGCAAACATTCCCCCCTTGGTGCCTCCATTAGACCTTCACCATTCACCAATCTGGCTCGGTGACATCGCTGAGACGCCAAAGATCTGTCTTCAATCTCCAATACACATGGCTCCAAACTCAACCAAAGTTCCCAAAAGAAACGATGAAAATGAGACGTTCTCTCTTTTTCTTGTTTCTCTTGAATGAGAGGAGCCGATCCACAAGAACCACAGACATCAACAAAGTCTTATATTAATCGATGCCAGAGCGGCTGGCGGCTCCGAGCTCCTCTGGATAAATAATTCACTTTGACACAAAGCCAAACTTGAACAAAACATGAACTCCACACGTTTAATCTGAGACTACTCCCTCGGGTCTTTATAATAAGCAACACTGACAGAAGCAAATAAAGGCTAGGTCCAGTCCAGCCTCCCGAGTGGACCCAGGCTGTGCTCACAAAGCATTTTTTGAACCTATGATGACCAAAGAGCTTGTGCTCCTTTAGAAAGAGAATCTACAG